TAATCCATTTCTCTTACAGAAGAAAAAAATTAAGAAATAAGCATTCTGAAATAATGTTTTTCTCAATGTAAGAGAAAAAGTTCATTTTTTTCTACATGAAGCAGAATTATCATCCTTTTTGTTGGGAGTTTTGCTAGACCAGCAACACAGTTTACCCCCAAAGAATCATCAGAAACCCATCAGAAATACTACTGAAAGACTAAGCACAAGGTCAGCATTGTAGATGTTAATCCTAGAACTCTCAATGAAAGACTCTTCTGGCACTATGTGGATACGTTAATTTCACTGTTCTTTCCTGAGTCCTTCGTGAATGTCAGCTTGGCTTCAAAAACGTTTCTCAGTCACTTCATGTCTTACTCTAGTCTGTTCTCTCTGTATTGTATGCTTTTCCACTGTGTTTGCTGATATGTAACTTTTGGAAACTTCTTTGAAAGCAGTTTCATTGCACTGCTTTATAAAAATGAAGAAAATCACTTATTATACTACCTGAAACTCAGCTTAAGCTTTATCTGACGTCCAATTAACAATCTTTTAAGCTAATTACACTTTTCAGCAAGTTCAGGGAAAAATAATTTCTAGAACTGATTGCTCTTGTTTTTTTTTTACCACTTAGATGACACTAGTTCTATTTTTCAACAGAATGCAATGAATACAATAATGAAGCAACTCCTTTTATATTAGTTGATTCCATGCTTTTCCAGCTCCCTACCAGTAATTTCCTTAGTGTTGAAAACTGAGGACATTTTTGCAGATTTTGTATATGTGGGTGTGGTTTGATGGCTTGAAATTGACCTGCAGTTCAATAGGATAAACAGCGTCATTATTTACCACATAGGTATCTTGCAAAAATATATTTCCTATTAATGAGTACCATTTAATGAGGGGAACATTTTGATGTGATTATAAGATATAATTACATATATTACACTTACTAACTGACTTTTACAATGAAGAACAAACAGTTTTGATGGATAGGGATTTTGAGAAGTCCTGTTAGCAAATTTGATTACCATTTGCTTTTCTTCCAGTAGCCATTTATTGCTTTATTTCAGGCTTGAAGAGTGCGATTCTTATGTGATACAATGGAAAGGATAATCTTGTAATCCAGTATATTTCTTTCAGCTCCCAAAGAAGGAAAACTCAAACCTTCTACATCTAAACCTAGACCATCTGCCAGACCCAAAAAGCCACGAACTAAACCTGGTAACTAACTTCCATACCAAACATTTTAAATTCATTCTGTGTGAAGCTCAGCACTTTATCATCAGAAAGATAGGTAGTGAGGAAAGCTATGTTCTTTGAGGAATATTATTTTTGTATTGAACAACAACAAAAAAAAATGAAGCAAAGAAAGTAACCTTTTAACTTTAGATTTGTACCTAAATCAACAAGCTGCATGGCCTGGTGTGGAAACAGGTTGTTTCCCACCTTGATTCAGCACAGGATCCAAAGATGCACATTCTCTTGCTTTGGTGATGTGTATAGCATCTTACCTAGAACTGTAGGGTTTGTATCGATTCTGTGATCATTAATACACAGACTTATCAGAAACTGTTGAAAGAAGAATGAGTTCTGGAATTTAGTAAAGGCATATTTTATGATGACAAGTGAAATCATACCTTTATACCAGAGCTGAATTTGGTCTGTGGTATATGTCAGAGAATAAAAGACACCTGGCCTTGCCTGAAGCTGAAAAACATGTCGATAGTTTTGCATGGGTTGTAATGAAGTTTAAAAAGCTTTAAAATGTATAATTGTATGTTGTGAGAATATATTACTTACTCAGGGAAGAGATTTGTCAGTGTTATTTAAATCTTTCCCGATTCCCTGTGAATTAATCCCTGGTATTTTTCTCATAAAAGAAATTACTCTCTTCAGATCAAATAATTCCTTGTAAAGCTTGTTGACTAAATGGTATTTGTGTTTTATAACTGTCTCAAATTAGTATGCATAATTAGTTTTTCATTGTGGCTACAACTACAACTTTTTTAGTGTAGAATGTCAATATTTTAATACAAGAATAATTGCTTTAGTCTCTGCTGTCAATGCCTACATCTCTCTGAATATAGAGATTTCCTTGAAATGACACAGAAAACAACTCCATTTGGAAACCTGTGCATAAATTTGTATCATACTTTTGGGTCATCAAGATCAGCCCTGTGTATTGATGTTTCCACATCAATGAATGGCTGCTTTCAGCTTCTACATAACTACAGAGAAGGCGGCATGATTTTTCATTTGTGTACGTGCCTCTTGTCTGTCTTTTCTGTTAGTGGTTTCCTTGCTCAATTCAGATGGAATTCTAAGGAGCACTTTTTAATCACTGGGATTGTTTAGTCTAGAGAAAAAGAAGCTGAGGGGAGACTTCATTGCTCTCTACAACTACCTGAAATGAGATGGCAGCAAGGAGGATGTTGGTCTATTTTCTTAGGTGACAAGTGATATGACACGAGGAAACAGCCTCAGGTTGTGCCAGGGCAGGTTTAAATTTGACATCAGGAAGAACTTCATGGAGGGTGTGATTAGGCATTGGAACAGGCTTCTCAGAGAGGTGGTGGTAGTGTACCCATCCCTGGCAGTATTTAAGAAATGTGTAGAACTGGCACTAAGAGACTTGGTTCAGTGATGTGACTTGATCGGTCAGGTTGAGGGTTGGACTTGGTGATCTTGAAGGTCTTTTCCAACCAAAATGATTCGATGATAATAATAAGCTTATAGTGATCTCAGATGTATTCCAGTGTCACTTTGGGTGTTAAGCATAGATTGGAAATTTGTGTCATGATAGTGGTTGTCACCTTTACTTAACCATTAATCAAAAATAATTAAAAACACATGCCAAATTCATATTTCATCAACTGCCTGCTATTGGTTTTCAAATTTCCTTAGTCTCAATACAGTAGTGAAGTTAGGATACAGTATTTTTAGATAGACTGATGCATACATGTAGTTGTTCCTTTTAGAATTGTGCATCCCCTACCAGGACTATGAGGGTCCTGGAAAAACTTGAAAACATGCATCCTATGAAGTATAGTCACACCAGAAAACCATGCATTCTCTGTCTCTGAAAAACATGTCTGAAAACGTGGTTCGTGTCTGTCTTATTATTTTCAGCCCTTCAAAGTCTCAGGTTACGTGGTTGATCAGTGCTTAAAACCCAATAACCTGGTAGATCATTTAATAATATTTGGGAGTAATTTCAGAAAGGTCAGAGGAAATGAAAGGCATTTCATTTCCTGCAATCTCATTCCGCTCTCATTGTCAATCTGAGAAACACCATCTCCCAATTCTACTTTTTCATTTTACCTAGAAAAGTCTACATCATTGTATATCTGTTAATGAACTTTTAAAAACTGGGCTGAAAAGAAACTGTCAGAATCTCTTTAGGATGGGGAGAAGGATGGCATTGTTGACTTTTACATTGAAAAAGCAAACAAATGAGAAAGAAAAGCAGGTATGTGATTTAGTATTCATCAGAGAAATATGGTGCAATGAATGTCCAGCACTTGGTTAGTTCTGGAAAAATCTGCATGCAGCTAACTTGTAGGTTAGTATGCTTCATATTGGATTTCCCTTGGATTTAGAGCAAAGAATAGTGCTGTAGCACAGATACATTATGCAGGACCATGCACTGCCAGGTGTAGAAAAATGGTCTCACGTTGTTAACTAGGTAAGGATACGCTGTTGATCTCTGTCGTGACAGAGTACTACTTCCACGTGTGGCAGCTCAGAAAAGAACATGGCAAAGAGTTCGTACTACTGAATTTCTTTTCAATAGCTGTTTCTGTGTATTCTCATTCTTCATCTTTTGACCACACCTAAATGCCAGAGTTCTGGGGTTGAGAGCGAGAACTGATTGCCCTGGCTGAGTTAATATATACATATAAATTTACTTTTTTAAAACTTTTCTGACTTCCTCATGTAAGCTGACAGAACCATGCTGTCACCTGACATGGACTACTTCATGCATTATCAGTTTGAATGATGTGGCTTTTAAAGGAGATTATTTTGATGAGAGATTTACCCACTCAAGTACAATTAGTTTAGAGATCAGAGTCCCAGAGAACATAAGAAAACTTCGTAACTGCTCTGTCAGATTCTTTATTAATTTATTTTATTTTTATTTTTTAACTTTCCTGTTCACAGTAAAGCTTCTCCTTCCAAACCTAAAGTCCTTCTGTGTCTAGAACAGCCTGTGACAGTGCTGGTTAATTATAATGCTCTTTCACAGAGTCACAGAATGGCTTAGGCTGGAAGGGACCTCTGGATGCCATCTGGTACAACCCTTCTCGTGCAGGGCCACTTAAAGCAAGTTTCCCACAACCATGTTCAGGTGGACATGAAGTTTTCCAAGGAGGAAGACTCCACAACTTCTCTAAGTAATCTGTATTTTTGCAACAGATAAGGGATCTTAGAATATTTCGCTTAAGGTAGTTGCAATAGTATTAAATACATCAATCATTAGCTATAAAAAGTTAAAGCCAGTTACAAATTAAAGCTAGGAAAGGGAATGAGGGAAAAAATAAAGTTCTGAATGAAATACGTCAGTTCTTTTACTCGGTCTTAAACACAACCTCCTTAAATATAATCCCTTCATCGTAAAGTTTTGTAACCTACTGAGATCTTCAGCCTTATTATATGTGACTTTGCAATTATTTATACCTGGAATCTTTCAGATCTAACTTTTGCATTACTTTCAAAGAAACTCAGTAAAATTAACAGAAAGATTTACCAAAAGAAAAAAGATTTCTATGGAGCTGTTTATTTAAAGGTGTTGACAGCCTTGCAGGGAAAAGAAAAACTTCTCAGGAAAACAGGATGAAGACTCAAGAGTTTCTCTTCCACCAGTGTTCCTATAGCATAAATGCACCTTTTCTTTTCAAAGAGCAGCAGAAGCTACACAGAATAGTTATTTCTTGAATTTTCTTGATCAATATTATTACTTACTCAGTGTTTCCATTTGAGTAGAGAGGAGAAGGTAGATTTTAACTGGGAAGCAAAAGATGAAAAATATGTATAGATGCACCTGTATTTATCTCAAGAAAATGTTCTTTATTCCAGCAGCAGCCATTCCGGTGTCAGTCACTACTAGGAAACCCTACACATATGAACATCCAAAGACTGCAGAGGGTAATGATTACTAGCAATCTTTAGTCATTCTTCTTTTCTGTGGTCTAATAACATGTGTGATTGTAAATACTCTTTTCTGTAGGCTACTTGCTTATTCATATGAGGTCTGAACAGCAGAAATGAAAATACACTCTTGGTGCTTTATTATTTCTTCACATTTATAGCATGAAGATACTGTATTTTGAAAGACAGGATATCTTCAAAGATATCTGATTAAAAACCTTAATTACATGAGAAGAAGAAAGAGTAAGAATTATTGCAGTAATAGATTTCATGAAATACAAAACTAATACACTTAATTTAAAAATCAGATTAAAAATCTACAAACTGTTGAACAATTCCTGCAGAAAGGTGAGTTCTATATGGCACACAACATTGTGTAATCATTTTTCAAATTTATGGAAAATATTGACTCTTTTTGATTTATCTATATTAATCGATTGGAACTAGTGGTCAAAGTATGTTCAAAACTCTTCTAATGACATTGATTGGCCAAGGTTGGCATTGGATAACAGTATTTTCTTAGCATCATTTCTTAGCACTTGTTTATTTTGCTTCAGGCTAAATTTTTAGAAGCTAATATTGCTCCAGAATAGCATCTGACTCTTCGAATATCCCTCTCATTCAAGGCTCTGTCTGCTTGTTTTGCCCATACTTAATACATTTCATGTATTAAACCCATAGCATTGGTTTTCTCTGTGCTTATTCACTGATACTAACTGAAGGTTGTTTCCTAGTCTTCATTTCTTCTTTGGCAAATGTAGATGAGTATCTTTCATGGGACATCATTTACTTTCAGTTAAAATTATGATTATTTTTTTTTTGCAAACCAAGTTTTTTTTTTTTTCCAGTATCCAAACTCACATTCTGTACACGTGAAGCATAAATCTGTTGTTAGATCGAAGCATCTCAGACTAAAGCTGGTAGTGACATTTCTTTTGAAACTGTATACATTCAGGAGTGCTGTTACTGCAGAAAAATCAAAAAGTGAAAGAATTAAAACTTCTTTCCTGAATGAGGGGAGAAGGAAGACACTCACTACTTTCTGATAATTATACTAATATATATTACTTCAGAAAACGTTTTGTAGAGCTAAAGAAGAATTTAATTTTCTTCTGAATTTCTGAACATTTTTTATTCTTTTTTAAGAACTCACTGATGTTTTGAAGGCAACCTGTGAATAGAAATGAGTGTTCTAGAGAGAGAGATTTCTGAATTTGAATTCCAAAGGTAGTTGACAAACCTGAGTAACAGAGAAGTCATTGCAAGGCAAGAATATACTGAGCAGATTAGAAAGATTAGTGACTGGTTTAACCTTTCTATACAGTGTCTGGCTATTGTCAACAGAAAGAAGTTAATGCTGTTTTTTGTTATTGTTGTTGTTTGCAGCAGCATTAGTAATTATTATACTGTGTATGTTAATAGAAGGATAAGAAATACTCTGTTATTCAAAAGAATCAATTGCAAGCAAAGCATTTTTTTATAGTTTTATTTATTATAAGTTCCATTTTTAAAGCAGGTGGAATTACAAGAGAGCTTGGGATATAAGTGAGTATAGCTGATGGATAGGGTTCTAACTTTAAGTGTATATGTCTGTATGTTACTCTAGTTCTTACTGCCTAATGAGAAAGGAGAATTTATCCATTATTTTTGATTTCCTTTAGTGTCAGGAATTTTTTATAGACTGTCAGTTTGTATTTTAGGATTGTGTTCTTTTTATTTTTTTTTTCAATTTGGCATAGTTCGTGAAGAGGAAAATGGTATGGTATATTCTTGTGCCATTGTTTGTTTGTTTGTTTTGTTTCTAATCCAAACGATAGGATTTGGATATGAGGAAAAGCTAAGAGGCTTTTTCAAAATAAGTATTTTTGATATATGTAACAATAGCAGCCTTTTCATCCTCTGTTTGACTGCTCACCTTAAGAGGAAAAAATCAACTGTTTTGTCGTGGTCAGTATGCCACTTACAAATAGCAGCAGACTTCAGTATGAGGGATACCTGGATATTCCCATATATCAAGACTCTTGCTGTCTCTGAGATAAACTCATCTAGTCCTTTCTTTGTTGTATGGTTTACTGATTTCTGTTACATTTTTCCTTCCATTATCAGCAAGTTTCTGCAATTATTCCTTTTTCCTATTGAACCTGTATTATTAGAAAGCTTAGTTGTCCACGATTTTAAAACTAAAGTCAATTTCAGGGTAGGCATTATTGTGGGGTAGTACCAGCAGCTGCTTTTGCACTTACCAGTGATTTTACATTTTATTTATTTATATTTATATTTATATTTATTTTGAAGTAGGTTCCATACTTACTTTGTCACACTGTTTCTGTTGCAGTCTGGGAACCTATTACACTTAGAGTTGAACCACCAAGGTCAACAGTAGGTAATGATATTTCTTTGGCAAGCTGTTGTTTGCTTTCTTCACTGCAGACAGCACCACTGAAGTTACTCACCGTATGCTTTAGGATTCTTTCATTAAACTTCATTTTTCTTCTAGGTAGTTCTCTTGCTTGGCATCCATGTCAGTTGGGCATATTGCTGTCTTCACAGTTGGAATGTCTGCTTTTTGAGAAAATGAGCCTGGAAGCTCTGAATCACCTTTGTTATAATTATGCTTGTCTGTGCTCATCCCAGTTTTTTATTTAAAAAATAAAATAAAATCTGGGCTTCTGAAATTACCAGATTTCATCTCTCTTGCTTAATCTGTTGAAAACACATGGGTGGTGCTACTTGACTTCCTTTGCTACTTCCTATAAAGAGAATTCTTTTCTCTGTTGCAGGTGTGAGGCTTATGTGTTTGTGTGTTCAACTCTATATCAGATGCTAATTGCTGTGTAAATTAACCAACTTATCACCCACCTTTTCTCTTCCAGCTCCAAAGGAGATTCCACATATTCCTTCTAAACCTAAAACTTCACCCAAACTTCCTATCCCACACGCTAAAGATGGTAAACTGCTTTGTGTGATTATTTCTAATACAGTAGATATTGGACTGAAATATATCTCTGAGCAGCTGCTTACTTATCTGAGCCAGTTACAATATAATAGGGTTCTGTTCTGCTGTATATTCTGTGGTTTCAATTCAATTTTCAGGAGTAGTAAGAGATTTACTAGGTTTTATGATCATATAGAAGAATAAATCTCTGCTGCCTCGTGGCAGCTGGATGAGAATATTGCTAAACTCAAATTGCAGTGGTGGCTAAAACAAGTATCTAGCAATTAAAGTATGTGTTATGGCTACTTAGGTTGTACAATTCCCACCCACACTGCTTTGCATTGATAGAATAACAATGTGTCTCCCTTTTAAATCACAATTATTTCAGCTCATGACATTATTTTTTATAGCATCAATTTCACATCCTTATGCAATTTAAACATCCTGTTTTATTTAAAAGGTATACCATAGAGTTAAAGCATGTGGTCATGTAACCCAATACACAGCAATGCTGTTTAATAATACAGCATGCAGAAAACAAGCAAGTGGTCTCCAATTCCAGTTGTATATATAAACAGCATTTGAAATACAGTGAAGAGTTTTGTATCTTTAAAAAGCCGTTTTCTTAGTAAGATAACGATTCGTATTTGGATATCTCATTGCAGCCCATGGGAGAATTAAGCTCACAGTTAAGGATTGTTTCATCTTACACTGCTTTGCCCCTTATTTTCTCAGTAATTTAATTTAATACAACAGCTTTTGTATGAAGCAGTGTATAATTCAAAGCATAGCTACTAGACAAATAATTCTAACTGTAAGTGAAGTTATTCTCCTCGATTCTCAAAACAGCTTTTATGTTTTGTTTTTGATACAGTCCTGGAGTCTATAACACTTAGAACTGCTCGACCAAAACCAACAATAGGTAACAGTTATACCTACAAGGACCATCACATTTGAAATACATGTTGTGGCTACTTAAGTGGTACAATTCTCACCAACGCTGCTTTGCATGGTTAGAACAAATATTCAGTAGACATCTAGCATCACAAGTACATCTTCATTGTACGCCACTGTCATAATTTTTTACTGTTATATTTTGTCCTTCTGAAGTGTTTTTTATGTGTGTGATTTTACACTAACAATTCATATTCATCTCATTTGGTTTTCCTCACGCAAATGTATTCTGTAAAGTGGACGGATGCACCACGATCTTCCTTTGACTGTGTTTCATTGTATTCAGTTTCTGTCACGTGCTTCATCTTTTCTGCTAGTCTCCAAATCAGGCATCCATCCTGGCCTTGCTTCGTTTGATTTTGTTACACAGGTTCTCCATCAGCAGTATTTCTTTGTGTACCAGCCATTCATACTTCTTCACTACTCATATAAACAGTTTGTGTTTCCAGAGGGTCCCAAAGGCATGTGTTGTTTTTGTTGTTGTTTTATTTTTGTTGTTTTTTGAATGTTTTGCTTCCTGACTGTCTCAGTTCTTGAAATACTTTAATAGCTGCGTTTCTTTTATTCCAGTTCCAAAAGAAACACACCGTATTCCCTCCAAACCTAGAACATCACCAAGCTCAGAAGTACCACAAACCAAGCCTGGTAAGTACATTGTTTTCATTGTTTTGTATCATCTTCATATGTGTGTCTTACAAATTCTACTAGTGGGAAGCTTGTGAGTGATTATCTTTGCATCACTTGTTGAAGTGGCAGTAATTCTGAGTTGAATAATACTCTGTGACGTATTGAGTTTTAAGGAGTGGCCATGTCTCACTGGCTGTAGGAGGGGATGGTAAGATCATTGTGGAGATAGTGATTGTAATGTTTTAATTGTTCTTGGTAAAAGTTGTTTTTGTTCTTTATTACACTGATGCAGTTCTGGAACCAATTACATTTAGGACTGAGAAACCAAAGTCAACAGCAGGTAATTATACTTTCATATTTGTATAGTCAGACTGTCTTTCCTCTTCAACACAAATCATTAAAGGCTGACCTGCAAATATTTCATCATTTACATGTAATAATGCATTTAATAATTTAACAGTCAAGATTCTCCACCTCTTCTCATATTTTCTTCAAAACATTTGAGGAGGACCCTTATGCCTTTCAGGTGTTTATGCACATAAGATGGGGTAATTTTCTTTGGTATTTAAAGAGACAGAGGGCAGTTCAGAAAAAAATCCTAACTTAAACATTCTAAGACATACTGTGAAGGTGACTGTGTTCCAGTTAGTCACATGGCTTCGGTGAGCAAAGCTGCATGCTCTAGGTTATCTTTCTCTACTCCCCATCCCTTTCAGTTTTACTAAATTCAGTCCTTTATAGAATTCTGAAAAATATTTCTGTTTCTCTTAAATATCAATTCCACTGTCAGAACAGAATCACTTCAGTGATCTTTGGGACGTATGGATCCTTGAAGCAGATCCACTTGACTAAGGCACTTTTATTGCTTGTATGTGGTACTGAGAATTCTTCCAGTACAACCTCCATTAAAGAGCAGTGGTGTCTTTGTATTTGAAACTAATTTCCTTGTTTTCTTCTTACTTAATTGGTTAAGCCTTTCTTCTAAACAGAAACAATAATTCTGTCACATGCTCTGTTGATGATATGTCACAGAAGAGTATTTTCTCTACAAATTGGTTTTGTTCCAAGAAAACTCATACCCCTTGCATCACTTCCATACAAGCATCTTTGGCTCAAATCTTTGCTCTGTTTCTGGTGACTGCAGATGGTAGTGGACACTGAAAATGGTAACACAGTGTAACCCAGTTTCTTTCTTTCAGCTCCTAGAGAGACGCGTCATGGGCCTTCAAAACCTAAAACATCACCCAGTCCCCGTGTTCCTCCAACCAGAGCAAGTAAGCTTCTCAATATTTTGCACTTTAGTGTATGATTTTTTTCAGTTTGAAAATTGCTAAAAATCATAAGTTCTTTGAAAGTACACAAATATTTTATTGAACAGGCTGTGTTTTACTGTCATAATGAAATTTTGCTACATAGCTGTCATGAAACAAGACAGATATTTGTGTTTGTCAATAACTTGTAGAATGGTTGGGGTGTGGGGGTTAAACACTCTAATTTTGGAAGTTAGAAAACTTGTGTCTCAATTTCCACAGCATGTGAAAGAGGTACTTGTATTTTCTAGTTACTCATTTACAAGTGCAAAATTAGGATACTTTCCTGTTCCCAAAACTTCGGTTTGGGAATAGCTCTGTCCATTTGAAAATTAGTTGTAAATTTCCATGTTTCTTCTGCTCTGACTGCTTTGCTGGAAATGTTGTGGGTTTTTTTGTTGTTTTTTTTTTTTTTAATGCTCTGTTAATTTAAGCAAGCAGCAGATTTTTGGAATGTGAAACACTGGAGAAGTGCAGCTAAGGGAACTGTTAGAACTATAGCAGTCTGCCCTGTGGAAAGATTTGTTGCAGAGAACTGGGAGAAGTGGAGAGTTAATCCAACACTGCACTGTAACAGTCACTTTGTCTGTAATCTCAGCACTAACACTTATTGCATTGGCATTAGGTCTCTTTGTGATTACCTTCAAATGGAAATAATATTTCCTAAAAAAACCCTTTCTTTACAGAAAATGAATATCCTGTCAGGAAAATCAAAAGACCTCTGATTAGTCATCACCCTCATTACAGCATTCAAAACTTAGCTCGTTTTCACAGGTCCAAAAGAAAGTCGACGAGTCACTTTCAAGCCCAGAACATCACCAAGTCCAGATGTGCCATACACAAAACCTGGTAAATACCTTGTTGTTTTGTTGTCCTTGAATATTTGGGTTTTCTTTTGGGTTGTCTTTTCTTAATTAATAAAGCATTGATTAACATCTCTTCATATTACAAGCGAATAGATTTTGTAATGAACATGAAATACATGTGTAAAGGAAGATGGAGCTGGTTTATATATTTGATTGCTGCTTTTTGGTGGGTTGCATATGCTTTTCTGTCACATGACGGTTGTCACTGATGACTAATTTGCATAGCAGAGTAAACAACATATAAACATTGTAACAATGTTCGTGGAAGAAAATTGCATCTCTTCTGTTCAAGTGTGCCCTGGTAATGGAATTAGACCCTTAAAAGTATTACTTGCATGCTAGCAAATTGCCAAACCTCCCTAACTTGTAGTGGTTCTAAAGGCATCAGTTGAAACTTCCTTTAGTTAGTGCATATTCACTAATATTTATTGCAATTTAAAAAGAAATCAGGTAAAAGGGGGTATTGTACAGTTTGATGATACTTACCACTAATTCTTTGTACATTCTTGTTTTATGAAGTATTGGTACCTATTATATTTACAGTTGAGCAAACAAAGACAATGTTAGGTAATGATATTACCTTGAGATTATTTTTTTTTTCCCAGCTACTCTGTGGACCAAATATTGTGGATTATTATTCTGCTTTCCACATGATCTGTTCGTGGGTTTGATTTGTTTTCTTGTTTACATATTGATCTTAATTCTACTCTGTTCCAGGTACTGAAAGAGTCCTAGCTGTGTCGTTGTCTTCACGGAAAATTTCTGTTTCACTCTTACATGAATCACAATTGTTTTGACTCTTGTAGGAGACAAGCATGCCATGGCTACTGCAGTTGTCAGCTTTGAACTACGGATGGGAACATCTCAGCTGTGATTGTCTGTGTTCTTTCAGATTTTGTTCCTTGACTCCAAAGGAGATTTTGCTTACTTGATCGTTTTTCCACTCATTTTAATTCATGTTTTTCTTTTCCTTTTAAACACTTGCATATGTCTGTTTCTCAGTTTTTCAGTCACTCATGCGGAGATTGCAGTTTGTTTTTTCTTGAAGGCACAAGGCGTGCAGTGCCTGTGCAATACCTGACTAATTTCTGAAGAGTATATACCCTTAAAACAAGTCTTTTCTTTCAGCTCCTAAAGAACCACAACATGTACCTTTTAAACCTAAACCAGCTCCCATTCCAGATGTTCCACCCGGCAAGCCTGGTAAATTACCTTGCCTTTTGTAATGCTGTGGTTGATAACTGGGCACCCATTTGTGGTGGAGGTGTGGGGGGGGAGGGGGGAGGCAGGGGGGATGTAGAGTTGTCAGCAGTACATTTGCTATTACCTCTGTACTACTATAGTTTAAGAAACCTATAAGTTAAGAAACTACAGTAATTCAAGATTTTTTTAATATTGTGTTTGTGTTACTGGAAGAATAGTAGGGACCCATATATTTAGATGAATGATATGAAGTTATTAACAACTTGTACCCGAGCAACACACTTTGTTTTTTTGTAGCATCATGTTTTTGAAATTTATCAGAGAACTCTCATATGGTTGTTGAAGTGCTTTTTCCCTTAAATACACATTTTCACCCAAATGAGACTGAGTATTCCCTTCTATTGTATTCCATTTAGGAGAATCCCTGTCATAAATCTGGCTGACCTGTGTAAGATAATCACTGATTTCACTGAAGAGTTGTCGTGTTTTTTTGTTTTTTTTTTTTAAGTATTTAAATGCAAAAACAAACAAACAAAAAAAACTCTTCATAAACATAAATCTCTGAGGTTTTTTTTTAAGGGAGTGGGGAGAGAGGAAGGGAGGAGGATCTCTTCATTCTTCTGAGCATTTATCCAAACTTTTTCCAACAGGAATCTTTCCATCCTTCCATGAACCAGTTACTGCTATGATTCCTCATGTTCCTGAAAGAACAAAGGCAACACCGGGTAATCATTTGCTTCATAAATAATTACTCTCTTTTTATTCTTGTTAGAGAAGGTGCTCATTACATCATATTAAAAACTAATAATGCAGTTTTGCTCTGATTCTAGATACCAGCTTGCTCTTTGATCTTGATAAGGGAAGTAATGCACAAGCTCATTTACTTTTGAAGGTTCCTTTCCTCATCTTCTAGCCATTCCAATCAGGAGGACATAATTCCTTCAAATGTTATATATTTTCCAGTAAAAGTGAGCTTTATTTAAAGAACAGATAGTGATTCCTGTCATTTCTGCATCTGAGGTATGGATACTGTTATCATAAAATGCTGTTCTGCTTTACTATTCATTGTATAATTTTACGGAAGAATGTATGAACTACAGCATAACATACAGCAAAGCATACAAGTTATGTGACTTCACAAGTCAAACACCACTTCTTAAAACCATTTTCTCTGTTAACTTTTAGTAATACCTACTGGGAAAACTTTTTTAAATATGTGAAACATCAGTCTCAGAATTCTTTCTTCTTAACTTGCCAGATGGGGACTAAATAAGGGTGAATGAATCCATGCAGAATAGGGCAGTAGGGTTAACAATCTTTGCTAATAATTGTTCTCTGTCCCTGGTTTCAGGGGAGACGTCCAAGATTTTCTGAGAATTAAGTGGTATCATTAATGAAGTAATAACCACTGTTTAATAATCTTTTATGTATGGTTTTTTCCCTGTGGCAAATAGGACACTAGAAATGCTTTTCATCATGTTCGTATTTTAATATCTATTCTCTGTATGCATTGATACTTAGGTATTTGGTATCTTTACATAACTTTATGAAGTTTATGTGCCTCATCATACACATCTGGGCCTACCTGATGGAATCTTTTACGTGCACAAAATGGTTCTTTAGAACAAGTGGGTGAAGAATGTACAGGCTAAGGTCGATTTTTGAGGACCTTTCACATTGGTGTGGATCACAGACTTGCACGTGTTTGCTGAAAGTGCTAAAATATCTTTTCCAGTACGAAAGTCATGACAGAATTACTAGAATAGAATAAAATAGTTCTTGTTGGAAGAGACCTATTGATTGGTTGATTGATTGATTCCAACTGCCTGATAGCTTCAGGGCTAACCAAAAGTTAAAACCTATTAAGGATATTATGCAAATGCCTCTTAAAGATGGACGGGCATGAGGTATCAGTCACTTCTCTATGAAGTTGTTACAGCACCTGACTACCCTCTCAGTAAAGAAGCTTTTCTTAATGTCTGGTCTGAACCTCCCTTGATGCAACTTTGAGCCATTCTTATGTGTTCTGTCACTGAATACCAGGGGAAAAATGTACCTCCCTCTCCACTTCCCCTCTTCAGGAAGTTATAGAGATTAATGAAGTACTGAATAGTATGGAAATGACAGGGATAAATAGTTCCCATGTAAAAACAAGGAATTTAATTTATATATCAAGTCTGATATGAAGGGCCCACTGAAAAACAGGTACTGTCTTCAGATTCTCATGTACAGCACAGAAAGGCTACTACTGTCTGTTTTTGTCCCATTACTTTATTGTGTGCTGTTTGTGACTGTATTCTTCACTGCTTCATCCAAAGCTACAAATCTGTGTATAACTGTTGGGAAGTCTGTCTGTGTCAGTGGCCATTTAATTTCTTTTCCTTTCTTTACAGGAATTCCAACTGACTGATTTTTCAGCTTCTCTTAATATAGATTAGATCATACTTCCTTGTGTACTACGATATTCCTTGTGTACTATGGAAACAGTGTTTTTGTTTGTTTTGTTTTGTTTTTAAAGAATATTTCAATTATTTTTATGGGTGCTTTTTTTTTCTTTTTCTTTCTCTCTCTCTTTTTTTTTTTTTTTTTAATTTCAGCTCCAAGTGAAAAACAATTCATTCATACCAAACCAAAAAAACCTGAAAAACCAAGAGTGCCACACACCAAACCTGGTAATTGAGTCAATCTTGTAATTTTGTGTGTTTCTATTTAATCATTCTTTTCCCCTAGCCTGAGTTTTTCTGCTTTAAACAGAATTATTCGTATCTGGTTTTATGGTGAATCAATGGTAAATCAACCTTTAGATCAGTCAATCCAAAATGTCAAAACTACGCTGAAAATAATAGTAGCATCTGTAGTATATGTTTTTCCTCCTCCTTATTACATTCAGCAAATGATGACTAATAATTTGAGTGTTGACAATTTTCAGTGGCTTAGATACACTGAGTTCTCTCTTATTGCTGTCTTGTAATCAGAGGGGCTTCTCTATGAGCATGTTTTTTCACCCACAAAATGCAATCTAACTCCTTTGAAATATGTTGTTACACGTAGCAACTGACATGTGTTATACTGAAACAAAAGTACTTTTAAAATAGTTAAGATCTGTGTCTCTTCCCATTTTTGTTATAGAAGTAATGTATAGATGTTAATAGAAGGATACTGATAACTGTCAACAGTTGATTTTTAAGATATTCTGCTACTCTTTAGTTTGGGGCATTTTGAAAGCTTTAGAAATAGTGCAAATACTGCTTTGTTTCTTTACAGTTAAATTTTAAGATTCTCAACATTTTCTCCCTTAACAGCAATACATCAAACAACCCCACAACCACTTATTACAAAATCTTCTACTACCACTGAGCAGTCAAGGGCAACAATGGGTAAATACATTTCCTTAAACTTAAGATGCAGGTCTTTTTAACTGTTCGATGGGGAAGTTTCTAGAGAATATGCTCTGGTGTGTTCTTTTATGCAGTATCAGTCCACTGTCCATCATTCTGCTTACACGCGTGCATGTTTCTTAATACAGAAGAGTCTCAGTTCTATCTTCGAGCTAAGGCAGAAATTGCCTACCGTTCATGTCTAGCAAGAAGACTGTATTTTTCAGTTCTCTAACCAACTTCAGTGGTCTAATTTTTCTTTTAGAGCAAGAGTTCTAGCCACTAACTCACATTATCATACAGCACAGTATTAGAATACCACTGTGTTTTGGAGAGCCATTTTGTTTCAGGTTCCAGAAACCCATGGAATTGTTATTGTCTTTTTTTCAGGCACTTGAGGCATGCACTTTCTGTGGGCTAAGTATGGCATTGGATTGTGACTCCTGAAAAATACAACAATAATCTTTTTCCTTTCTTTCAGCTCCAAAAGAAACACTGCTCGTTCCTTCCAAACCCAAAACATCTGTTGAGCCAGAAATACCACAGACTAAACCTGGTAATTTAAAGTTTTTAACTTTAAAAGTGTTATTGGAGCACTACTTTAGTTACACTTTTTGCTGTCATTTGGTACTACAGGGATGTGACATGATCGGTATTTAGAGAGAAATTAGTGTAATTGTTCAACTCGGAATACCTCAGTGAATTACATCGAAAAGAATGCCCCAGAACTGGGTCATGTCTATGGGTACACACAAGTTAGGGTGGCTATTTTTTATAAATTTATTTTTTAATTGGTTGATAGAAGCCATTAAAATATGAGGAACTTGATTAATTTGAGTGAAGATACACTACTGTAACTGGTTTCACTAAGTTCTTTTATTTGGGGCAAATTTATTACACCAGATAAATGTGCAAGTACTTTTGAAACTCAGGCTACAGGATCGTAGTCCAAAATAGTTAGGTGGTAAGAGTACAAGTACCATCTTCTAATCAGTGCAGTAATAATAGTAAATTTACGGATGCATAATTATAATGAAGGATGTATATTATATCAGCTTCACCTGGGGTATGAACTATTTCCATAAAAATTACTACATTGGAAGCTTATAATGGAAAAAAAATAATCTAGGGAAGGTGTGACAACATGATCATAAGAAAGAACAACACTTAACTTTTCTTCATTCCTAATTCCCAGTCCCAAACTGGTGATACTTTATTTTTTAGGCAATTAGGTTTGTGAATAGTTTTATCATTCCCCCTTTTTCCTTAGACTTCTCATGTAGCCAGAAACAATTTAAACAGAGACCCTATTCATTAAAGAATGGTACACGTATTTTATTATGAAAATCAAATGGAACAGTCTAGCCAAAAAAAAAAATGTTTTCTAAAGGATTATTTTGGAAGACTCTCTGTAAGTAACCAAGCTAGATTCTAAGTCTCAATTGAATTAGAGCTATTTCCAATCTTGTCATAGTTAACAAGTACCACATTTTGGCACCACTACACAGTTCAGTTTAGTAGAAGAATTTTAGAAAACAGAACTTAAGGGGTTATGTTTTTAACGTTTAAAATTTAAATAATTGTAATGACCTATATGCAAAAGAAATTCTACTGTTATCTGGAAAGTTGTTAAAAATAAATGGCACTAATTAGTCATTACCCTTCATCCTAATAAGTAGGTTATTTTCCAGCTTCCATATTTTAACCTTGTTTCTGAAAGAGAAAGAGACACATGTAGCATGCACTTCTGCTTGCCAGTCTTTCCTTTTCATCCAGTAACTTTCTATCTTTGACAAAATGTGGTCAATTTTGAATGAGGGAAGAATGCCTTAAAGATAATTATATTATTACAATCTTTTAGAGAATTTTGAGGGAAATGCAAGTTAGCGTCCTCTATTAGGGTGTCTGTTCTGAAGTAGGTGGAGGCCCAGCAGAATATTTGCAATGTCTGTCTGTCAGCATGAAAATACCTCCAGACTACTCAGAACACAGGCCTGTCTTAAATCTGTAAAAATTGTCTTAAAAGATGCGTAGGTAGATGTTTATGAAACAAAGGACACAGATACTTAATGAAATCCAACATCATTGATTTCACATCTCACAGAACAATGTTTTATTTCTCATAGCTCCAAGGACAACACACCTGGGATCAATTAACCTCATAACAGTTCATGTTGTTGATGGGTCCAAAATGACTTTGGGTAATGAGAATATTATGACATTTTATTTTTATAACTTCACTTTCTCTGCTTTTGCTATATGGCTAAACTTATCCTTTAATCAACAGAAGTACCTTAAATATATCTTCATCTTCTTCATTAGTTAGGCACGTTCCAGGGCATGTACAAAATGTTGCTGTTTTTAATTTTCCAGTCATGTTCCATCCAATTTGTTTGTAATTATTTATAGAAATAAATGCTTCATGTACATGATTGAGGAGTCATATAAAAAGATGTCTTGCTCATCTTTTCTTCTGTTGTCTAGCTTTTTAATTACGTATATCTTCCCAGTCTTGAAGTTCTGGTATAAATCCATGATTTTCAGTCAGGTTTCTATCACTCACCCTTTTTGTTTATGGTCTGCGCTATGTTTGAATTTCCCTTCCACCTGTGGTATCTGATGTTTAAAAGAAAATCATTTGCATTTGATAAGCAATCAAATCTCCTCTTTCAGTTCCCAATGAAACATACCAGATTTCACCCAAACCTAAAACGGCTCTTGTAACTGAAATTCCACGGTTACATACAGGTAATTCTTATAATTTTCTTAGTTTGTTGCATTGAGAGTCTATTTAAACCTCTAACTGAGTATATATAAACCTCTAATTGAGGTTTAGTGGTCTGTTGTTACTACCCTTGAAAGCTTTTAAGCATTATTAGTGTTTTGTGTCTGATCCACAGATCAAAAGCATTGCAAACACAAACATAACTGACTCCCACCTTTTTCTCAGTATTTGTGAAATTTTTACCAAATTTGAATGTCAGAACTTAGTAATATGTTCTTTCCTGCATAAATGTTTTCTCAGAAACTTCAGAGAGGCTAGAGTAACTGATGTTGATAGAATGGTTGTTAGACTCAAGTATCAGGTGGATAGCTGTATTTATGTAAAAGTGTTTGAGTTACTCAGGTCAGTTATTTGGCATAAGATGACAGTGATGACTACTTAAATTTTCAGGTTTCAGTGTGATTCACACACATACTGTAACAAATAAAATTTCAAAATTGTTTTGCAAGTGAAAGACGACAGTAGGAAAAGGTTGAAGGCTAGTAATTTTAATTTTAACTTTGATAATGACGCTATGCTTCAGCAGCCATGCATAGTGCCTGCATTGTATGCTTCCAGTAGTCTTCTCGGCAATATTTTAATGTTTCATGTTTTTATCTGAATATTTGATTTTGGGGGGTTCAGTTTGGTGTTTTATTTTGAGGTTTTTTGTTTTTTTGTTTTTTACAGAACCTAATTAAATGTCTTAAGGCCATGGATACCTTGCAGAGCTAACTCTGTATCCATATACAGTTGGGTAACTGGCTGTAAATATTTTATATCTTTTCCTAAACCTAAACATGAATGTAACTGGTCAGACTGCATGATGGAGTCATCTGACCACTAAAGAAACTAGCATTTTCAGCGTGCATTTTGGATCGGAACTCATAGAATTCTCATACGTCCATTTTGCTATATCGCATTGGTGCATGGACCTTTTTTTGTGGCAAATTACACTGCTTATACACATAGCATTTAAACTGAACCTTATTTCTTTTAGCGGCATATAAAACACGTCTCACTTCTGCAAGACCAAAACCATCTGATAAATCACAGACCAGACCTGGTAATAATTGTTTATTCACTTTGGTATGGGAAGGAGGTCCACTATTTATTTCTTTAATGATTTTCACCTGTTCTTAGAGGAATTTTAAGTATTGCTAGAGAAAAAGGGTGTGCTTCTTTCAATTAATCAGTCTTCAGGTAAAGCCTTTTCAATTTAGGAAAAAAAATTGTATGCCACCACAGCAACTCTTGCTTTTTCTTCTGTAATATGGAATTGTTGGCATCACTTAGAAGTCTCATTTTCTTCTCATTAAGCTTTTTCTTTTAAACTTCCTCACAGCTCTTAGTAAAACTACACTAGCACCAGCTAGAACAAAATCACCTGGCTTGCCAAAGTGGATTGTGCCAACAACAGGTAGAGCTGTTTTTTTGTGTGCTTTGTTTGTTTGTTTGTTTTTAAGATATTAGCAAAAACACACGAATGTTACTTCCTGAAATGATCTTAAGCCTTGCAAAATATTTAATTACGTATGATTATAGAAGCTAATTCTTTAGAGTACTGTATGTAATTGCTGTTACTAGTAATGCTATATTGTTCCTGACTGCTACCGTGAAATGGTACTATATGTGATAAGTGTAGTCTTAGAGGTAAAGTATATAATATGTCTACTGTTTGTTGATGTTTTCCATATGATAGGTCCAGAATAAATAACCAGGCAATAGGCCAGGTGATAATCCAGAATAAATAACCAGAGATGGTTGTATATCTAAATTGAATTAAAAATAGCCTGAACATGATATGCTCTTTTGTATTACATATAGAGGGGATGTCATCATTGGAGATATGTGTTCTCTGACCTTTCATATTCCTTCTGGGAAATGAAATGAGCCCATCTGACTGCAGGACATCAGGAACAGTTATAGTATTAAATGACTTAGGATGGCAGTAATCCTGGCTCAAGAGGTTTTGCTATTCACTAGTGCTGGGCAATCTACTTCACAGAAAGTGACCTTTCTAATGTCCGATCACCAAATGCATGAATACACAATTATGTTAGACAGTATGTGAAGTTTTTCCATTCTACCATATAGCAATGTCTTTGGCAGTGGCATTTTTAGATTAAGAAGGTTTTTTTTTAAAAAAAAAAAACAACACACAAAACATTCTAGGTAAAATAGCAGTATAAACATGATAATAGGTGTTTAAATTGTTTTAAGTATAGTTTATTGTGCTTTATGCTATTTTAGGTGATTGCTAAGTATTAGTTTAAGCAATCTTTATTTTAAATGCTCCAGTTGGAGTACCTGCTAGTCATTATTTCCATGTCGTTACAGTAGGGCCAGTTGTCAGCAAGAAGTAGTGTTCCTTTATGGTAGATGATGTCAGAAATCACCACAAGGCTATTTATTATTTTGCTGTGTATGCTAGGTATATTCACAAGCAAATAGGTATCTTCATTTAGAGCTCTTGAAAATTATGCTTTTGCAATATTTTCCATTGCTCAGTTAAGCAAGTCTTTTTTCCTAAGTGAAATAAGTGTCCTGAAGATGTCTGTTACCTAGATTTTGCATCCTACTGAGTGAGCACTTTCAGTTAAACATGGTGTTCAAACTGCTTAGGAAGAGTTGGTATTTATTGTCTGTTACCTGTTTATTTGTACTACAAGTGCTGCTGGCACTTATTGATAACTTCCTATGAGAGTACATCTTTCTTCTCTGAATGCTAGAGAAATCATCAGTGATTTTTTTTTTTTTTTTTTTTACATTTATGGCATGATGAAGAGGACTAGAACTTTTAATGAATTCTTTTCATTCTGTGCTTTATTCCTCCCTTTATGATCAAAAAGTGAAATCCCAAGTCTTCTTGTAGAGTAAGTGCGTCACAATATTGTGGCAAATGTAGTGTCTGAGCATACAAGGATGTCTATGCTCACAAAAAAAAACATTTTGTACAAGAGAGGGTTCAGGTAATCGATTAAAAGGAAATCTTCTATATTCCTCCTAAGCAATGTGCCATTATGTTTAGCAAACAATCTTGAAGTCTGCAGAAGAGACTTAAAAAAGAGAATTCCACTAACCTGGAACCCTAAATCCCCTAAATCTTACCAGCTGAGCAAAGGCAAAAAAAGCCTTTTTTTTTTTTTTTTTTTTCTTTTTCAGTAGATGATATCTTAGAGAAATTATCTTTTAAGATATTTGGATAATTTTTGAGGATAGAGAAGTTTATTTCTTCCATTAGGAAAACGATGTTATTTTCTGTGATTAACTGATCAGAATCCTTAACCAAGCTGTAAGGGACAACAAGTTTTCAAGCTTACATTTAAACATTACATCTTTTTTTTTTCTTTCTTTGAAGAAGAGTACATTCGATAGTCTATTGTTTTAAGACCACTTTGGATCTTACTTCCTTGTTGTGCGGGCAATGCTTATTGGATGCACACCAATTCTTCTTCCTGAGTGTACCCATTAGCATCAATGCAAAGATGTTCCACTCCATGCAGAGTGTGTTTGGCAGCTGTGAGGCCCTGATGATAAGCTCTGGAATTTGTTCTTCCCAGCAGCAGCACATGGGATTGCGGTTGATTTCCTGGCAGGCTTTTCAGTCTCCTGGCTAGCTGTATTGTTAGCTGTAATGCCAGGTGGTAAACTTGACTTTGGGAAACGGGCAGAGGTTTCAGCCACTTAACTAACATTCCTTTTAGTCTTCTACCATGTTCCCGGCCACATTCTGTATAATTTATTTTTAATGACATGGCTTTTCATACTTATTTTAGTTCATGTGATATATCTTAAGCATTATTTGGTTTAATCTTAACAATGTAAAAGTTGTTCATAGTCTATTAAACTTCTGGACAACCTTTACTCAAGTTTCAGCAATGTTTCATCTCCCTTGTGAGAGAGTTTGTTTTCACTATAACAGATATCAACTTCATGCTGTGCTTTGTTTGTATTTTTGAAAATGTGAGCATATAGCTAGGTTCTAGATGAACTCAAATATTAAAGTATTCCAGTTTGGTTTGTTTTTTTATCAATGGCACCTTTTCCCACTTCTTAAAATGATCCACACTTCTGATAGTATTCCTGCTATTCAAGGTGCAGTGGTTAGCTTTAAGGTGTTCCAGATCCCATTAATATTTCCAGGAAAAAAATGATGAAAGTAAAGAAAACATCAACACACATTTGTCTAACACGTCTATTCTCAGTTCTGTTAAAAGTCTGGATGAATGTGCTGAGTTGAAATGCTTATACGATGCTAGGTAATGTTACTTGCTTAAGGCAAATGCTATGATAAATGCAGCAAGTTGTATGACATTGCAGATACTTTGTGTGGAGATACAGGCGAACTTTTACGTGACTTTGAAGTGCATTGAAACATTAAAGAGGAGATTTTTGTTTTTCCTTTCACATAATTTGCACTACTATTTTACTAATGGCAGTAATACCATATAGAATATATACAGCATGTTGTTTGTTGATAGCCAATACAATTCAG